ACTTCCACAAGCAGTCTGATTCAGAGCAAGCAGTTTGATTCCTAATGCTAAGACAACAAGAGAAGTCTGTTGCTCAATGACTAGGTTTCTGTTTGTTTATTTTCCTCTGCATCCTGTGATGACACTGGCATCAATTATCTTGACACCCTTCATGGCCTTGACCTGGATTTGGTATGTGAAGTGGAATTGCTGGAAGGATTGTGTTGATAATTATGATTCATTCATGACCTAAATTGCCACCATTTTATCCTTCTGCCTCAGGCACCGTATGCTTTAGAGAATGGCAACTATCCTCTGATGTCAACTTTTAGCGTAAAACTGCTTTCTGACTATAACATTCCAGTAACTGGTTCTAAACAGACAAAAGAAAGGACCAAGCCTAATTTATTCATTGCACAACCTAGCTCTCCAGTGAACCTTAAATGCATCTCAAAAACTCATACACAATTTAGAGGTGAACCAACATGAGGACAGAAAGGAGATGAGTAGATTTAACACCTTGTTTTTCTCTGTCTTCACAAGTTTAGATCCTCTGTAATTTCAGCTTTGAATTTATCTCTCAAGGCCTTACTGGAATCTAAACCAAACCCTAATACCATTATAAATCAGAAGTGCAGGCCATATTTATGGTTATTGGGAGCTCTTCAGTTAAGGCTGTGTCAACAGTTCAATTAAAAAACTAACACATTACAAGTTTATAAATTTGCCATAAAGCTTTACTCCAGACTCAAAGTTGGTAGCAGAGTGCAGCCTTGGTGAGTGTTCAGTTGCTCTTTCTTTTTTCAAAATATAAACTAATTGGTGTGGCTATTTTTAAGTTAAAAGATACAACAAGATAAATAGTGGCTTCTGGTTCCTCTCATACAATCTTGATCAAGAGTTTTTACTAGATTTAAAATTTGCACGCAGTTAACCCATAACATGATTATGTGATTTCAAATGATTTACAGAGATCAGATTATTTCATTTGCAAAAGGCAAGGGTTTGTATGATTGATATTTTTTTTGGACCAACAGAATGGTGGGGATAAAGTCAGAGACACTTTCAAATGGAAGACATTCTTCATCTGGTCATTTGCAAAAGGAATTTCTGCCTTCATGGAGTACCTGCCTTGGAGAAAGGCTTTATGAGGATTGTTAAGATTCTTTGGGGGTGTCTACATAAGACATTTACTGTGCAGTTGCCTAATTAACTGTGTAGTAAACATCTCACCATCTACACATTAGGGCACACAAAACTAATAAATTCCACGGTAGGGTAAGACTTTCAAATACAAATCCTACCTGCTGCAGTGTATTTTTGTGCACAGTAGCACATTGGTAGTTGCTGACTGGATGGCTGGGGCACAAGGGTGTTCAGTGCTGTGGCTGCCTGAGAGCTAGCTCAGCTCTGAATTTCCCTCGTGCCCCAGCCAGCCCCTCCATAGCACATTGAGCTTGCTCAGAGCAGCCCTATGCTGGCAGGGGGACCCCCACTAGGCTCCATGCCAGCCAGGGCTGCTGCAACATGGCTCAGCATGCTTCAGTTCACATGCACATTCAGACATAGGACCAGGAGCTTCCCCAGGAGCAAAAATCTGCAGAGCAATAAGCTGCGCAGTTTATTGCTGCCCCCAATGGCACATGTAGATGTGCTCCGTTATGGGCAAACTTTTCCTCTTTAGTCTGCATTGTATATATCTTTGTCGAATATACATATCCTCTTGCCTTTCTGCATTAAATCTTTCATCCATCTGAAAAAAAAAATCCAAATTAAATATGGTTAGACTATGCAACAGATGTTTCCAGTCTGGTTTGGATAGGAGAATTTTGACCTAAGTTGATCAGGTGCTTGGTTACAGTTATGACAATTTGACAGTGGCTCAGTTTAATAATTTATTTTGGGTTTTTAGAATGTATACACTTGTATTATTGTGACCTTTGTACATTGCAATAATTGGGCTTGTTTATTTTTCTTTTAGAGATTCTTTGTGAAATATTTATTCTATTTTTCTTTTCTTTTTTTGGCAAGTCTTTTTCCATGGTGGCCTTTCTTCAAGTGAGAGCTTCCTTTCAAGTCTACTGCTGTAGACTGCCTTCTGCTTCCAAAGATTTATATCTGCCAACTCTAGAAAACTTTAAAGCATATTTGAGAGGAAAAAAAGAAAATGCCTTTTTATGTTGTTGGAAAAACTCTGGAATATAACAATTTTTGGAGAAGCAGATTACAAATGTCATTTGTACTAGTTTTATCTTTTACCAGAATCTGTTGTCATTGCGATATACTGTGTCTGTGTTCTGAATGTTTACAGAAGACATTAAAATAAGCTTTTTTGCCTCTTAAATGGACAGAGCGGTTGTGGAAGGCTTAGTAGGTAGCCCCTCAAACTGCCCAGAGGCACAGTCAGGGAGACAATTAGTCATGGTCAGAGCATCCCCATGTTTCTTGATTTGAGTTAATGTACTGGGCCAGTTTTCCATTGTCCTACACCTTGTACAATAATTCATACCAGAGCAAAATAAGTGCAAAGGTATGTGAAGAAGTATTAATTTATATTTGCCTCGCATGGTGGTAGATGGTTATATACTATGTATGACAAGAAGAATAAAGTCTCCAACATCTGTTTAATTTTGTGTATGTGACAGTAGCCTATTGTAATGCGCACTAGCATATCAAGGCAAAAACTGTGCTAATGCTTAGTAGAATTCGTCTATTGCACATTGTGTCACCAAAAAAAACTTGCCTTTGCTACTGCACATGACTTTATGTAGTACCTCATATTGCAGGTACTAAATTTTATGTGCAGTAGCAATGGTCCACTAATGGACATGTAGATGTGCCCATTATGTATCAAGCCAGAGAGAAAGCTTCTGCCTCAAATGTTATCTAACAGAGCATTGTTTAGGGATAATTAGTGTCTTTATGGTGTATAAAGATACAGAAGAGCAGTTCCACAGAAGGGGTATTGGGAGTTATTCTGCCTCAGAGGCATGGGGCCTCAGAATTTCCCAGCTGCATGAGGGTGCCATTAACTTGTTACAGTCCTTTAAGGAATGCTGTATACTACTTGTATGCATGCCGCATATGGCTCTAGCTACCAACTACATCTCTTCATCTCTTTTCTAGTGGGTTCTTCCACAAGAAAAGCAACTCTTTAGTTACCTTTGTGCTCTCTTGAACATATTCACTCTCCAGTCTTGTTCTCTTTTATGCTGGCTATGCATGTAAGGCAGAGAGAAAGCTCTTCAGAATTGTGGCCTCATAGGGTTGGAAGGGACCTCAAGAGTTATCTAGTCTGTACAAATTCACTCCAGATTTACAGCTCCTAAACAACTCCAGACAGGTGCTTTACCACCCTTCGCTTGAAAACCTGGTTGTAAGATGCTTCTGAAACTGGAAAGATGCTAAGGATCTGGACATGTATAAATCAGCAGGTCCAGATGCTCTTTATCCGAGGGTACTGAGAGAATTGGCAGAGGTCATAGCAGGGCCCCTGGCACAGCTGTATGAGCACTCGTGGTGCTCTGGCCAGGTCCCAGAGGACTGGAAAAGGGCCAATGTGGTCCCCATTTTCAAGAAGGGGAGAAAGGAGGACCCAGCTAACTATAAGCCAATTAGTCTCACCTCGGTCCTGGGAAGACCTTTGAGAAAATTATCAAGGAACACATCTGTGGGGGCCCAGCATGGGAGGTAATGCTCAGGGGCAACCAACACAGGTTCATTGCGGGCAGATCCTGCCTGACTAACCTTGTTTCCTTTTACGAGCAGGTCACAAAGTCCTTGGATGCGGGCATTGAAGTGGATGTCATCTACCTGGACTTCAAGGAGGACTTTGACACTGTTTCTCACCCCATTCTCATAAAAAAACTAGGTGACTGCAGCATTGATGCCTACACAGTCAGATGGGTGGCAAATTGGCTCGATGGTCGCACCCAGAGCGGTGGTGGATGGGTCGTTTTTGACCTGGAGGGATTTGGGCAGTGGAGTTCCCCAGGGCTTGGTCCTCAGGCCTGTGCTATTCAACATCTTTATCAGTGACTTAGAGGTGGGTGTGGAAAGCATGCTGTCTAGGGAGAAGGAACCTGCAACACACCTATAGGCTGGGGAACACCCTTCTCAACAACACAGTGGCTGAAAGGGATCTTAGAGTCATTGTTGGCTTCAGGATAGACATGAGCTGCCAATGCAAGGAAGTGGTCAGTAGGGCTAACCGCACCTTGTTGTGCATCTACAGATGCATCACAAGCAGGTCTAGGGAGGTGATCCTTCCCCTCTATGCAGTGCTGGTCAGGCTGCAATTGGAGTACTGTGTCCAGTTCTGGGCACCACACTTCAAGAGGGATGTGGCTAACCTTGAGAGGGTTTAGAGGAGGGCCACTCACATGGTCAGGGAGCAGCAGGCCAGGCCTTACAAGGATAGACTAAAGGGTCTGAATCTATTCAGCCTCCATAAAAGAAGATTGAGAGGGGATCTGGTGGCCATCTATAAACTCACCAGGGGAGACCGGCGAAAAATAGGTGAGGCTCTGTTCCACCTGGGGTAACAAGGAATAACGGCCACAAATTGATTGAGAGCAAGTTCAGGCTTGATATCAGGAAGCATTACTTTACGGTTAGGGCTGCCAGGCTCTGGAATGAGCTCCTAAGTGAGGTGGTGATCTCCCCTACCTTGGCGGTCTCCAAGAGGAAGTTGGATAGATATCTGGCTAGGGTAACCTGCCTGATTATGATCCCAGCACTCATTCCTGCTCGGGGCAGGGGGTGGGACTTGATGATCTGTTCAGGTCCCTTCCGACCCTAGAAACTATGAAACTATGCTACTTCTGTATTTAATTAGGGTAGCCACTTCAGTGAGGCACTGTAGGCAAGCTAAGTACTTCTCCTGGGAAGCCATGGTAACTTATCCATGTATGGTTATGCTGCTTTTAGTGCAGGTTGCACCTACCTCCTAAATTAGCAGCAGCATAGTCACAGTCATATAGCAGCTGGCATTGTTGTGCTTTGTCCTCTCAGCAGCAGGACCTTACCTGGTACTGCAGGAATGATTGTGGGGAGGGGCAAAGGATCAGGTGAGCTGAAGTTCAAATTCAGGACAAAAGTTCTCCTTCAGTGACTCTTTGAGGAAATTGGAACTGGCCCTCAATTTAGGGACTATCCTGAAAGATTTGGGACAGTTACTTCAATGGTAAGGGAAAACTTTTTTTCCTCTGTCTTCTTTAGGGCAACTTTCATATATTTTATAATTGATATCATATATCCTTTAATCTCTCTTTCATTAAACTACACATACCTAGTTACTTTAGTCTTTCCTCATACAGCTTGATTTCCATGTCCTTTATTTTCTGTCTCTCTATTCTGGACCCTCTCCTATTTATCTACATCCTTCTGAAAATGCAGTGCTTTAAATGCAGTGAACTGAGGACTAAGGATTACCAAGTTGAATGGTATTATCCCTTCCATCTCTTCTGGACAAGGCTTTTGTTAATGCAATTCATACTGGGTTTTTTTTACATGCCAGGCAGCATTCTATTACTGGCTCTGAGTTTGTGATCCACCATCACCTACAGATCCTTATTAGCAATGGTTCAGCTTAGGCAGTTATTCACAATTCTATATCTGTGCATTTGGTTTTGCTTCTCTACCAGACTTGTATTTGTCTTCATTGAGACTTACATTTGCCTCTATACCAAATTCTTTCATTTATCAAGGCCTCTTTGAATTTTAATCCTATTCTCAACAGTGTTTGTAACCCCTTCCTGTGTTCTGTCATCTGCAGATTTGACCAGTATATTCTCTATTATGCCTTGAAGTCATTATACTAAAAATGTTAAAAAGTTCAAAAGCTCTTACCCCTCCACTATCCAGCCACATACAGCAGGGACAGACACTAGTGCTCAGTGTCTTCCTGCAAAAAGATATTTCCATTTAAATTGAAGCATAGTTGATCATCATCTAAACTCAAGACAGACTTGCTCAAGGCCATGAGAGGTCAGATTTTTCCTGTCAACTAAAACCAAAACAATAATAAAAACTCCACCAGCATTGAAGCTCTGGTCACTAAAAATACCTGTGGGAAAGTACACTACCTGCAGAAAGATTGTGTTTCAAAAAAATGCAATGCAACTTATATCGGCTAAGAACTGCTTTTGATTTTATCCATGCATTTACATAAAAGTCGGTGGCACTGGATGAGCATAAAGATAAAATGAGAATATGGAATATCCTTGCAAAACATCCAGAGCATTGAGCAGGAAGTGAAATTTTCCTCTGACTGTGTCTAAGAGTGTTTTTTATGGCAACACATTCCTGTGCATTGACTCATGATTTTTCACTTTCAAAGGGCTCATAATTTACACATCTTATTTTTCTCACTATTTAAGACACCAAGCAAAGCTCAGTCCATTTTTTGCTTTATATGAGCTGAAGATTGTTTCACTGAAAGTCTTGGGTTGGGAGGACCTCCAGAGTTCATTTAGTCCAGAGATTCCCAACCACTGGGCCATGGCCTGGTTGGCTGCTGAGTCGTGGCACAAGCCACTGCTCGGACCTCCATCTGTCCAAACGAGTGAGCAGCTTCCGCTGCCAGCAGTTGCATGTGGGGTTAAAGCTGGGCGGCGGGGCAGTCCCAGGAGGGAGGCAGCTGGTTCCATGCACCTCATCCCGTTTCCGTGCCAGTCCACAGTATAAAAAAGGCTGGGAACCACTGATTTAGTCCAACCACCTGCCTGATGCAGGAGCATCCCTATTCAAATAATTCCAAGCAAATCCTTGCCTAACGTGTTACTAAAACGACACAGGCAACCTTGTCACACAGCCACAACGCATAGCACCCAAACCTGCCATAGCTAAAGCAGGCATCCAATGTTTTGCTGCTGCAAAGGTTGTTAAAATACTTTTAAGAGACCAAAGGAAGAGGACCATGCCCCCTGCTACAGAGGAAGGCAACCACATGCACGCACGCACGCACGCACACACACACACATACACACACACACACAGTCTATACCAATTTGACCATGGGGTAAAATTCCTTTCTGACCCCAAATATGGTGATGGGTCTGACTGAGTTCCTGGCAACACCCTCTAGCCAGGAACCTCCCAAGTTAAGTCCCAGCAGGCATGCTGGCATACCTCAAAATCCCCAGCCTTGGCTACAGTCAACACTCAGTGCTTCTGAGAAAGGAGAACCCTCCACTCCCGACATGTGTAGCGGGGTGGGGGTGGGGGTGGGGGAGAAATCCCTTCCTGGCCCTGTGTGGTAACCAGCAAAGCCCAGAGACATAGGAAATATCCACAGTAGAACATAGGCGTTACTACTCCTGGATCTTCCTCGACCAATAGTTGTCCAAACTTTTCTTAAAATATTTCCAATGGAGATGCTACAACTTCCCCAGGCAGTCTACTCCCCTCTTTTAACAGTGAAGAAGTTTTTCCAGACCTACTTTGTTGCAAGTTCAAGCCGTTGGTCCATGTCCTGATCTCTGCAGCAAGAGAGAAAACTTGTTTTCCCTCATCTTTATGGCAACCCTTCAGATACTTGAAGACTGCTTATCATGTTCTCTCTTCAGAACCTTTTCTACAAGCTGAACATGCCTATTTCCTTCGCCCGCTCCTCATAAGTCTTGCTGCCCGAACCCTTGATCATTTTTGTCACCCACCTTTGACTTCTCCATGTCCATTCTCAAATGTGAGCCCAAAATGGCGCACACTACTCTAGATGAAGGCTAACCAGTGCTGAGTAGGGGGTCACTATTCTCTCTAGTGTCTTTCACCTAAATCTTCTGTTGATTCATCCTAAAACTGTATTTGCCTTTTGTACGGCTGCCTCATGCTGCAGACTCCACTGAGTCTGTGATCTACCAAGATTCCAAGACCCTTCTCCATAGTGCTGCCATCTAGGTAGGTGGCACCTATTTTGTAACTGTATTGTTGGTTATTCTTCTTCAGGTACAGCACCGTGCATTTGTCAGCATTGACTTTCATCCTCTTTAGCTTCAGCCTAGATTTCAAATCTGCCAAATTCCTTCTTAATTACACTCTTATCTTCCAGTGTGTTCACAGTCCTTCCCAGTTTCATGTCATCTGCAAATTTGCTCAAGAGGCTCTCAATTACAGCATCCAAATCATTAATAAACACGTTGAACAGCACTGAGTCCAGGATTAGACCTCTGTTTCATTTCTGACATTTAAAATAAAATGATGAATGCTGTCATTACTTTTACAGACAAAAAATTGAGTGAAGAGTTCTCCATTAGCTATCTAGCCTTTGTGTTCCTGGGCCTTTTATGCCATTTGCTTAAAATTTACCATTATGAGTATGAATACCATTATTTCTTTCTAAAAAGATTATTGTTGTGCCTGTTCTTCATCTACATTGACCTTGTCCTTTAAATGTGAGAGTGACTTCATTCATATATAATTACACCAAGATATGGAAGTGGCCAGCTAAATTAGGACCCTGACAAAGAGAAATGCTTGTGGCTTAATTTAAAATATATATATAGCAGCTTAATTTGAAGTTGTTTTTCCTTTCCTAATTAATACAACATAATGAGGTGACAGGCTGACTAACTGCTGACTCCCTGCTGGAAATCTGGAAAAAAAAAAGTCTGGTGGGAAAGCTAGTATTTGTAGCAGTGGGTCTGAGTTTCCCACTGATAATATTTGCTTCTGATCTACAAGCAGTAGAAAGTTATTTGCTCCTTGTAAAAGTTCATTTTGTGCTAATTGAGAGTTCTCATTTCTGCAGAAAGAGACACCCCCATGTATGAATTAAGGCTCTTTCTTATCAGATGAATAAACAAGTCTAAATACCTTGTCTTTAGTGAGCTGTTTTGCTTTTCCCTTCTTCATTTCTCCATGGCTTGAAACAATACAAGACCATAGCAGAATGAAATGATGTAATGAAACTGGAATCTTACCTGCTGAAACTTTACAACAGTTTATAGCCCAGTTTTATTGAGAAAGATGCTGCTGCAGCTTTGACTTTCCACATTCAGTGTGAGTTTATCAATGGAAAAGTTTCTCAGCTGTTCTCATTATTGTTGAATAGTGCATACATACTTCTCCTGCTAACTTATAACCTAGGTTTCTTAGCTGTGCAAAGTATGAATCACATATACTGAAATGTTAAGAAGCTAAGATCTTCTCCAGATATTTTCATTTTAAAATGGACTTTTTTTACTAGAGATCTACAAGAGTCTAAACCAGGGTTCATCATTTTCAATAGAAATTCAATATTTTCTTTTTTCTTTCAAAATAAATTAAAAAAAAAAAGAAGACATTTGAAAATAATACAAACACTAATTACTGTTTCTGACCAGTGGAAAAGCCACAGGAGGCTGTGGTACATTTCCTGCCTCCTAGTCTGAAAAATGAGGGAGGCTCAGAGGCCTCCCCCGCCAAACATTGCGCTTCTGTCATGTTTAGGAGTTCCGTGACTTTATAATGCTATAAAAAGTGCTCTAAATTACAGTGCTGTAAAACATGCATGGAGCACTTCTGTACACACATTTAGGCTTCCACATAAAAGTGGAACATTATAAAGACTGTCCAAGTTTGCTAGATGCTTGTATAATGATAAGCAGTTGGCTTTAAATGGGTATCTTTGGCATAGGAATCATATATGAACTTCCTAAAATGATGGTTCTTATCTATTGCCTTTTGTTGTTTAAATGTTATCTTTAGAATTTTGTTCTAAAGAAAATGAGGTATGGAGAAGAGAAGAGGTCAGGTCCTGGTTTCTGGCCTCTGTTCCTGCTCCAGTGGTATGTCTGCATTTTATATTTAATGGCCACTAGATCAAATGGATAGACAGTGGTGAGACAGTTTCTAGGGCAAAAGCCAGAACCTAGGGTCCTGTCCCTTCTCTTTCAGAGTTTAGCCCACAGGGTCAGGTTACCTATGCCTAACTCTACTTCTGGCTTCACATATCTTCTCCTCTTGGCTTCCCAGTGGGCCAGTTTCAACAGGAAGGAACCAATGGCCCTCTATAGTGTTATCATGTCACTGTGCGATGTAGGGTAATGTGTGCCAAGAACCCAACCCAAATAGAGAAAAGCTTTAAAATGTTTGTTGAATTAAAAAAAAACACAAATCTCTTGTTGAGAAAAAGTGTCAAGTGCATCAGATGTGTCAGAATATGAAAACAAATATAGATGTGAATCTACTGCATGTATCCAGCTC